GAGGAAAGATAAGGGCAGTGGTGTGCAGTGAATTCCTCGGTGGATTTTGCATGACTTCAAATTCCGTATAGCTTTTATATAAGTTGACCCTCCTCTACAGAAACGAAAATTGTCCAAAAATCATCGGCTTATATTCGGTAATATACGGTATACTCTGCGATGGCCAGAGCATTAATAAATTGTTTGAGGAAAAGTTCATTGTATCGCACATTGTAAAGAAGCTCGAGATCGTTATGTTGCCCCTACTTTCTACCGCTGATGGAGAAATCATGTCACCTGATAACATCACACACTGTGGTCACACATGTAAGGTGGTCTCCCCTCCATAAAGCCTGAATGGGGTTACTACACACGCCGTAAACCACTTTATTTTCTTTCCCACATCCGTGAGCGATCAGTAACTGTTCACAACGAGGACGTAGTGCCAAAAAGTGTAACGCAGGACTCAATGTTTGAAACTTACCGCTTTGCTGCCTGGCGAGACCTTGACTGCGGACCCTTCGTCCTGCGCTCCGGTCGACTCTCAGTTATCCGACCACTTTATGATGTCGGCTGGACAACAGGCAATCAATACGTTATGTTTACATTAGTTTATACTAGATGATTGGGATATGATTTCCGGCCACCTACGTTAGTTTTCCATTGCGAGTCATCAAGCCCATCGCGGTCTACCATCAAGTCGGTTACGGCAGAACATAGAACTCCCGACCTGGAGGAATATTAAAATAAACACTCCGATACTAACGCGCATAGTACGAGGTACCCAAAAGTGTCGGCTGGAGTGATCGTCGGAGCTCTCTGAGTGGTCAATTTTTGGGCTACCGGTCGTCCCAATTGGACGGTGGTGCTAATGGATACTCTAAGTTAAAAACATCTGGACATACCACATCATTTGCCTTCATAGTTAATTTTTGCTTCTGCGATCAACCAAAAACACCCAAATGGGACGGCGGGTCGTCCGTATGTACAGGCATGGTGATGGGATGTCGGTCAAATCATGTTCAATTGTGACCGGAACAGTAGGAGAATCCCGTGAATGCTCCACTTTGTAAAACGTGGTCGATCTCAGAGTGAAATTTGTGGAAAGATCTGCAAGGAGCCAAATAAATACGGACGACCCACACCAAAGTCAACCAAAAGTGCCCACGTGTCCTGCACTGGCATTCCCGGCTGCGCCGGCCACGTAAAGTGAAGTGGAAGTGGAAGAACGAAGACAAGTTAAGCCGGAACAAGGAATGTAACAATTTTTGAATGCGGATGGAACAGAGAAGAGTAAAGCTAAGGTTTGAAGGGTATAGTGCTAAACTACAGATCAACGGCGTCAAGTCGATGCTTAAACTCTTTCATCGTTGATGCCATCACAACTTCCGCGGTCAGCGCATTCCAAGAGTCTACAACCATGCGCAATAACCGAGAATCAGTTCCAACCCAATTCGACCAGAATTTGTGCAACTTCAGTGGATGGCCACGAAAAGTTGGCACCGCAGTGGAAAAGAACGGTCCAGAAAAATAAGGTCCGATCTGACCGGTTATAATGTGATAGGTGAGTTCTAGGCCACCCCGAAAACGCCTGTAGTATAAGGAAAACATGTCCAGCTCGGGGCACGACAGCTTCCCTTACTGAAATACGGTTTTCGTCCCCGACCGTAAGACTCGTTCAACAGCCATCTTGTCCCGAACGAGGCAAGGAAACAAGCCTTACGCAGTGAACATTTAGGTTCTTAGGACCCTGAATGAGCTGCGGAACATCCACAACGTGTTGAGGCCTTTGCGAGTAGCTGCCATATAACGTACACTGAACCTTAAATTAGACGACAGCAAGACATCTAGGTAAGAATGGAATAGCAACCGTGACACTGCATTACCCCCAAGTAGATAAGGCGTCGGTAGGTCAATAAATTCTACTCGCAAAACTGTATATTTAGAGCTATAGGTAAGTGCCGCAAGACAAACCAGTCCCATAATCTCTAGAGCCCTCGTAGGGCCAGTGAGTTACCAGGTTCATTCACTGTGAACCAGAAGTTTAAGTCGTCCGCGAAACTAAATGAAGGTACTCCCAGTTCGCCGGGACACCGCTGCTAACACACTACTTTAAGGACAGGCTAGAACCCACAGGAACACAGATCTTCATTCCGGTTAAAAAAACCGAAATCCGTTGCAAGATTGGTCAGGAGATACCATAGGTCTGCAGGTTGTATAAAAGGCGAGAATACGGAAAGCTTTGGTAAAGTCGGTGAACAATAGGTCCAGTGTTTTTCCTTGATCAACCGCTTCGAGCCAATGTTCGCGGGTTACTAACAAGTTGGTAAGGCAAAAATAGTTCTTACGAAAGCCATGCTGTGAGGAACTGAGCAACCTAAATGCACTCAAGTGGCTTCCAATGGGTATTCTTCCCAAGTTTTTTTCAGCAACTTGAGTAACACGCTGGTTAGGCCAACAGGTCTATAGTTCTCAGATAAGTGATTGTTACGTTTTTTATGAACGAGCACACAACAGCATTTTTCCAGTCGTTATGCACAGAACAGCTGTGCAGTGACTTCGCAAGCAATCTTGTAATTAAACAGTAAAACTCATCTAATAGCTCATACAACAATCTGGGATGGATCGCGTTCACTCCTGTAGCAGTAGGATTTAACTCTCGTTGAAGCTTGAGCACCAGAGTCTCGGGTATATACACCTCCAGATAAGCGTCTACAGGAACTTAAACCTTTAAACTAATATGAGGCAGGTGGGACTCCCGAACAAATACGCCTACATACTGTTCTCTAAACGAAGCCTTATCAAGATCAGTGACAGCAGCAGAGCCGTCAGCACCGAACAACACCGGGATGGACGAGTTCATGTTGGTTTACCATTTGATGTAAGCAAAAAAGCACTTTGGATTTGATGAGGCTGTACGGGAAAGCCCGATTTCATGTTGTAGCCGAGCACGACGCAGAAATTGCCTGCAGGCATTTCGAACGGCACGGCGCTTTTGAAAGCGGCATGCTGAAGGAACAGAGACATAAGCACGCCAACGTCTGTTCGTTTGTTAAGTAGTTTACGCGCCGCAAAATCAAACCAGGGTGGCTTTGCTTTAGTTTCATTTCTCCCAGAAACTGATGTGAGGGAGAGAAAACTCAGATAAGTAGAATTTGAAGTCCCCGGATGCCTGAACATCATCCATTTCCGAAATGAAAGGTAAAGTCGTGTCTTTGAAAAGCAGCACGCCATATGTTGGGTTTTAGGATGGTGCAGTCATTGGACACTCAATAGAGAGCGCAAATGAATGACAAGCATGCATGGTCACTAGCACCCAGAGGTGTACCTTATTCAAGGTCTCTGACAGTCAATCGAGTTGGCGAAGACCAGATCCAACAGTGACGGATTTCGACCTGCCATGAATCTTGTTGGCCGGTCAACAAATTGATGTAATTTCGAGTTAAGTGGAGCAGGAAAAGTAGGAATATCCGTGAATGTTCCACTTTCAAAATAGTGGTTGGGAAAACAGGAAATGCGGTAGATGGATCTCCCAAAGGGGAGCCAGGTGAACACACATGATCTACATGGTCAACCGTAGAAGAACCACGTGCCATTCACTAGCAGACCCTGCTGTGCCGGCCACGTGAACAAACAAACGAAAGGAAATAAGGGGAAGACAAGTTTGACAAATTACGCAAGTAACCTTGAGATGCAAATGATAATTAATTAAGGATAAATAAGCCGTAATAGGGGATTAAAAGTTTAAGGCAAAAGGGGAATATAGTAAACTGCAGAGCGACAGCTTTAATTCGATGTTCAAACTTTTTCTCCGTCGGTGCCATTACAACTTCTGCGGGCAGCGCATTCCACTGAACCATGATCCTACGCGATAACCGAGAAGCTGCCTCAACCCGATCAGATCGGGATTTATGCAACTTTAATGGGTGACCACGAAGGGTTAGCACTCGAGTTGGGAGGAACAGTCAGTTAAATCAGGACCAATCCGACCCACTAGTGTGCAATATGTAAGGATATAGTCGTCCCGAAGTCACCTGTAATGCATGGGAAACATCCAAATTACGAAGGCTCACAAGGTAAGTCAGCTTCCTTAACTCATTCACCACTTTCGTGCCGGACCGCAAGACACGTTTAATTGCCATGCTGTCAGGAACAGGAGGTGGGACAAGACTGTACACAGTATTGCAAATGGGGCCTTACAAAGGCCGGAAATAGTCTGACGAAGATTTTAGCTGTCATGATCCCGATGTAACAACGACCACTGAATTGTAGAAAACAGAAGGGGAACCATCATCAACTTCAGCACATCCCGGTCAGAGTAGGGACAATGCATGACGTTAAGAAACAGCATTCACAATGGGCCGTTACGCATGGAACGAAAGCACGACGATCTCGGCATACGTAGAAAATGGAGGTCCAACAGGCTCTTAAAACTTTGCTTACTGCACGCACTGAAAACATGCTCCAGTAGGGAGTTTTAGTCGTTCACCACTCGAGTGGATAGAGTGACCTCTGGACGGAGTCTTCGGCTTAGACAGCTTCCAATTGTCCCCGCGTGAAGCTCTGGAAGAATTGTTGCAACTCGGTCCCCTATTCTCCCCTAAGAATACACATGGTATAAACTAGGTCACTCCGGTGACAACGATAAACCAAAAATAAAAATTCATCTGCTGTAGACGGGCAAGTTACGATATATCACGTAACGCCGAGATCGATTCGGTACCACGCCTCTGTATTTTCTCAATCATGCAACGCTAGTTAGATCAATGCCAAAGCCCCCTGAAGCATCACCACAGTAGAAGTTTGAAAAATTGAAGTCCCCCAACACTAAACACCAATTTGACGAGTGAGCACGAATGAACTCAATGAGACCCCATGCAATACAAAAGGGGTTTCTAACATGCAGCACTTTAAATCGTAGTATTGATAGGCGCTAGGCCTAAACAGATTCAGGTAAATAGAAACGCAATATTAGTGTCAAAAATACAGTGCAAATAAAACAGATACAGTAGGAAACACACCTTTCTGCTTACGGAATGCATGCTAAAAGTCCAAATAACGTGGTGTGCATTTATCCGAAGACACGCCGATGCAGCGAAACTAGGGACTGCGGATAACGATAACACGGTCCGTTAAGTTTGCAATGCTTGCGCGTAGTGTTTATTAACGAAGCTGGTTGATACTTCTAGTCAAGGCAAAGCATGTTGTAATGTATTACAGAACAAACGCGATTTGTTCAAATTTATTACACTGTCCATTAAATTCAATGAGTTGTAGAGAACAGGAAGGAAATGCGTTGCAAGCCCCATCGATTCCGTATCATGCTGAGTTTGATGCGTGTCATTGCATTACGACGTGCCCCGAGAGTTTGCCGCTATCGTAGTGGCAGCCGCATAATTCCAGCATTCTCCGCGAATGTTTGTCTAGCAGCAGCTTGAAATTATCCTCGGATGGAGCGTCTGCAATTTCTTCCGGTAGGCTGTTCCAATCATTCATCACTCTAGTGGATAGGGTGACGTCCATGCGAATTCTGTGTCTTCTTTGCTTAACTAGTTTCTATATGTGATCTCGTGTGGAATAGTCAGTGTTAGGCCGGAGGAATTCAGGTCAGGTCAGGTCAGGTCAAACGGACGATGGAGGCTTCCGCCTAACGAGCGTCGAGTTCTTGTGCCGTTAAGTGAAGCGGCGCCCGGCACTTCGACGTTGGATTGCCGCTTCTTGCTTCTGCAAAGGAATGAAGCAAGAACAAAAGCAATCTCTGCACTTTCATATGCCAGCACCAAAATCCACTATATATTCCAGTACAAATACAATATCTCTGGAAAAGGATAGACCAACAATCATCTAAGCCCCTTTTGAAGGCTTCTACAGTCTCAGACTCCACGAAATCAGAAGGAAGTTTATTCCAGAAATTAACTACTCAGTTCGTGAAATTCTTCGCCCTGATGTCCAATTGTGCTCCAGGAGGTTTGAGCTTCAGGCGATGCCCACGCTAGTCGTCTGACATAGCCAACTCAAACATATGGGTGGGACTAGTACCACTAAGTCCCTTAATGATCTTAAACACCTCTATCAAATCCCATCTCAATCTATGCCGTTCCAAGGAAAATAATCCCAAGCTAATTAGCTGTCCTTAGTACGACTTCCCTCGTTGACCTTCGATCATCCTGGTCGCAAATTTCTGAATCTTTTCTATACAAATGACGTCACTTCGGAGGTACGGCGCCTAGGCCTGAACACAATAGTCCAGATGTGGCCTAACAACTGCCTTATATAACGGCAAGAATACTTCTGCTTTAGTGTTACTTGGACTAAATAACTCGTGTCGCGCTTTATTGGCTGCATGGCGACACTGTGCTGAAGGCTTAAAATGGTTCGCTACGATGACACCTATATCGCGGGCTTCATCAATACACTGCAATGACAGAAACCCTGCAGGAGACTGAACTGCAATTCCGCTGCCATTGTTGGTCAATAGTTGACATTTATTGGCCTTTAGAGGTAGACCCCATTGGCTCGACCAATTCACCACCGTGATGATGTCCTTAGCCAATGTCGCTCTGTTTCCCCTACTGACTAGCTTCAAGTCATCTGCAAAGATATAGCAGGGATCCTCAAGAAGGGGATCCAGGTTATTTTAAACCTAAGAAACAACAATGGACCCAGAACCGAACCTTGGATGACACCGCTGTAGGCATGGCCAACACTAGAACTCGCTTCCCCAACCCTGACTCTAAATGTCCTTCAAGAATTCAGGGAGCCATAGTAATGGTTGAATAGTAATAGTTGAATTGTTCTAACTACTCTCCAAGTTTTCCTCGGAGGATGCGCCTAGTGTAGCTGAGATCACCCCTGCGACGGCGGAGCTCGAGGAAGAACACATTTAGCTGCGGGAGCCCAATTGGGTACAAGGGATCGCTAAGCCCCAGAACAGCTTTCGATGAATATCGCTGAACATTTTCTAGCAGAGCGGATGAATAGACGGTAGACCGTTATCTAAGACAGGACGGACGTACGAAGTGAACAAAAGTGGAACAATCTCAGGAGTCATTCGAGCGAATGCGCTTCTTAAGTTACCACCAGTCTCCTTCCAGTGGCCATCTTTTTCAACGTATCCGGCGTCGTTCTAACCTCAGAAGTTATGATAATCTGGAGATCCCTCTTGTGGGTGATATTTCTGAGGAGAAACCCACCAATGTGGTTTGCACCGTAAGGTTTAGTGCTACCCACTGGGCGAACAGAGCGTTTAGCTCGGTTCACTGATAGTTCCCGTTTGATGGACCACACGTGTAGCTGGTCTAGAGCCCCATTTAATCTGTCAGCATCCTCAAGGCTGGATACTTTTGGCCACAGCTTGAGGTCCTCGGCGTAGATCAAGCAGTCGGTTTGAAGTGCAGTTGGCAGCCCTTTAATGTACTGTTTGAAGCGGACTGGTCCAAACACTGATCCTTGGGGAATGCCACTAGTCATGGGCACTAGAGCAGCAAGGGTTTGGTTTACGTTGACGCCCATTGTCCTAGAGCTTAAGGAATCGACAATGCAAAAGAGAATATTGCCTGTAATGTTAATTACCTAGAGCTTATTTCGCGGTCGTACGTGTGGCACTTTACCAAAGGTTTTACTGAAGTCAATGCATATTAAGTCAACCTGTTTTCGGGCATCTATGGCTTCTGTCCATGTTGCCCTGGAGATGAGTTAGTGATGCATGAGCGTGCTCTCCCGAAGCCGTGATGCGCTGGTGAGATGAAGTTTAGAAACACACATTTTAGCTGCAGAGCGCACTTGGTTTTGCATACGACTGATGGCAGACATATGGGCCGGTAGTTAACTGGGTCGTGTTGGTTTCCCCTTCATTTGGGCAGGACGGTACCTGCTTTCTAGCCTGTGGGTAAGCAACCGACTTCGAGGGATTGCAGAAACACTTGGCAGAGAGGGGCGGCGACGTACACAGCGATCGTTTTCTGGGATCTGGGATGCAACTCGTCCGGGCCTGGTAGGAGTTCGGGTCCAGTTCGAAGAGTAACTTAGTGATTACTTGGGGTTAATTCAACTTCGTCCTATGATGAGTAGTGTGCTGGCAAACAGTTGTTAAGCAGCGGAGACTGCAAAGATTAGACCGAGGAATATTGAGCAACCAATAGGTTTGCTTTTTCATTATCGCCGTAGAGTACGGTACATTCCTTAGAGGAGGATATAGCGGGGATTTCACTTCCCGTTTTGGCAATTCTCTTCAAGTAGGCCAAATGTTTCTTGAGACAAGTTTGCGATTCCATGGGCAGTCCATGTTCCTATTGTAGCCTGTTGTTTTTCTCTCAGGGTGCATAGGTTTCTGATAATTTGCTACTCAAAGTAGCTTGATGTCAGTCCTCTGCACTTGAAATGGTGCCATAGATTTCGCCATTTTTTCATTAGGGGTCTTACTTCTTTAATTATCTATGGGAGTATTATAGCTGGTGGACTGCTCCTACAGTTTTGAACAGTGTTTAATGAGTCGCATCATCACAGATCGTAGGCGCTCCCAGGCGTTAGCAAGCTCTAAGCATTGTGGAATACTCCAGTCTATGTTACTTGCGGCCCTTCTTAACCTGGGCTGGTCCTGCGCCAGCAACCTCAACGCAGTGTCTCCTGACCGTGGATTGGGAGGTGTAGCGTCCAGGAAAAGGAGACCGTACAGTGAGCACTCTTCCTAAGAGGTTGGAGGATCGTTAGATCGGTGTCATGCAGTGGGGCCGAAGTGAGAACCAGGTGGAGAATTTTCGGTGTCTGACCAGGGACCATCCGTGTTGGTGTCAATCCATGTTGTATCAGGTTGCACTTGTGAACGGTATTAAGGAGCTCGACTGTGAAGGAAGCAGGTGGGAGCTCACTATGAAGTAGGTCCCAAATTATGTCGGGGATCTTGAAGTCACACATAAGGAGACAGCTTGCGCCCCTGCTGTAGGTTCGCACTGAGCATAACAGGCGTCAGCCAGGTTCTGCAGGTGCTCTGTAGACCAATCCGACCATCAGCTATTTGTATCCGTCATGCATTCGACTCCATGGCATTTCTGACCTATCATTCTTGTCCCAATCGGGTTCGATTAGGTGGGCCTTGGGGTCGTTCTTTGTTGGAGGGTTACTCGGCCTCCAGATCTCCCACGAAAGCAATTTCATCGAATAGCTGATATCCTGAAATATTAACCTCCAAATCAGATATATAAGATGATATCCAGGTTTCAGTGCAGACCATGCAAGCGTATGTTACTCTCCGTCTACATGCACCGTTTCATCGCACTTATAGTGCCTTGACCGTTTCAACTACACACGATTGAACCTGAAGTATCGTCGTAGTACACAACTGCCTATAAACCTTGATCACGCCTGCATTCGTGTGTCTCTATGAATTTGAAAATAAACTATTTATTTATTCATTTAGTTATATGAACCAATTGCTACTGTTACTTTTACAGTTACCATATAATGTTTGTACATTTGCACATACCTGCTCATACTTCCATGGGCGTGCCTCGAATAGTCGAGAATAAAATATTTATTTAGTTATTTATTAGTTCGGTTTCTGTTCAGAAATAAGCAGTGGAATCTCCTCTAGCTTGTTTCTAAGGCTGCTCACCTTTGAGAGTTCTACCAGTAGTCCGTTCTTTATGTCCTAGTTCCTGGCAGAAGGATTGGCCAACCTCGAGCTCTATGCGTTTTTTTAACTACGCCAAAATCCACTAGGTGTAGATCTGTTTCTCCCTTTGCGCCTTGGGGTCGCAGCCTGCAGACAGCTTGCCCCATTCCGACCCGGTCCTCTGGAGATAGGTCGTGCAGTACCTAGAAGCTCCCCCCTTGGGGCGCGGGATCCGTTTCAGGATGTTTTGGCATTCTGGTTCATCTTGACAGACGGTTTTCAAAGCAAGCAAGTTGTCTGGGTACTCTTGTTTACTGCCAAGGCGAAAAACAGAGGGTAGTTTTATCCCTTGCTCACCGTCATCAAACAATATGGCGACCATACGTTTAAGGAAGGCTTGGTCGTCGAGTATCCCTTCAGCTGAAGCTTCTT